TTTTTTAAACTCGTGCTTAAACAGCAGCAAAAATCAGCATTTAATGCAATTTCAATGTAAATTTCTCAGTTTTCAGATTCAGGTGTCTGCTTTATGTTGCAACCCTTTCAAGTTCGTACTTCTCGCAAAATTAAAGTTACAAATTTTGAAAAGAAATTTTGTTTTTGGCTGAAATCGTTCATTTATAGACTCGCGTTTAAACAGAAGAAAAAATCGGAAACTTGTGCAATAAAATGAGCAAGCTGGAAAAATTGATATTAACTATCTGAACATTGAATGAAAATTAGCTTAGCAACAATTGCAGAATGCTGATAATGAACAATAAATTTTCCTTTATTTTTTCCGCTTAATAGCTCGCCACGTGGGCGATAGTGAGCAAATACTGACACGTTTGTTTCTGTTTCAGCTCACATTGACTTATGTCTGCAAATTCGTCCGGCCATAGTCTTTTATTGATAAATGGTAAGCAACACGCCATGTATGCACCGAATGCAATTCAACTCCGAAGGGTCAGTTCAATGATTCCATCGGGTCTATGAAGATCTCAAAAAATACACGTTTTCTTTTGTGTTTTATGTCGCATCCACTAACTAATTCAGTACAGAACAAAATATGCAGTTCAACGAATCTTAACCGACCATTAAGCGCGGCATGTACCGAAGCATTTTTTTTGGCGACTTGGATGACTAAACCGACATGTGGGTGAATTTATTAACCAGCATTTACATAATTATTCAACAATCTCTCGGTGGCCATGAAATTTTCGGCGCTACTTTGCGACCTTTATGCAAAATGGAAAGTTTTTAGCAGCAAGTTTGGCCAAAAAGTCAGGTTTTCGTGCGAAAAGCGAAGCGAAGTAACCCATTTTATAAGAATTGCTAGAGTCAACCCTTAAACTTCCCCACAACCACGAAAACCCAAATTGGCGTATACCTAACTAATAATGCAATTAAAATTAATGTTTTGTTAAAGCTAATTTGCTATTTATTCTTGAGATAAGAATAAAGTTTAATGTTCACGAGACGTTATTTTGCCCACCTGTCTAAGTTCAGGGGAGATTCCATCCATTTCCACTTCTAAATCACTGTTTAGCTCTGTTTTCTTTCGCTTTTCCCGAACTTTTTCATAGAGCTTTTATTTATTTTCTGGAAACTTATTCGCGAGTTCAACTACCGCTCGGGGCGCTACGAAACTTAAACATTACTCTCTATTATTAGAATACATTGGTAATACCTTGCTGACATCTCATATTTTAGGCTTTGTTTTTAACTCTATAACATCAAAAATACCTACACACGTTTCAATATGTTTGTCTGTATTTTACGGCTTAAAAAAGCTGATTAGAACTAAACAAAATAAATCACAATGACATCTAATCAAAATAAGTGTCAAATTTTACTAGTTAAAGTGGGTCGCTTGCGTGACTTTTGAATTTACGATTTGTCAGTCTGATAAGTCAAAATCTGACAGTTTGTCAGTCTGACAACTAAAACTGGTAGAAAATTCAAAAGTTAACTTTAGTAGTAAAAAAATATACTATATCAAGCCAGTAATTTCAAAAATAATTCTAGTCCTGGTCAGGTAGATCAATTATTATAAACCGCTATTGCATAATGAGCCCATAGTTTTACGTCTTTTAATGCAATTTTCGCCAGCCAAAAAATCTTATCCTGGGCATCAGGTGCGTAATAAAAGTAACTTTCTTTTAAAGTTTTTTTGCTATATAAATATGTAACCAAAGCTGCTACGAGCTACGAAGCCAATTTTGAATTAAAATTGAGGTTTTGTTTGAAGTTTGTTTTTGTAAGGGTGGAATCAACACTGATTATGGAACGAATAAGAAAATTGTATGTCCCTTAACCATGGGCCGATGCAACTGAACACACACACAAATCACAATCACCACTATTCCAAGTTCCATGTAATTCTGTTCGGCTGATTCGCATTCGAGTTCAGTAAGTTCAGTTGAGTTGGTTCGGCTTTCGGCATGTACGAGACGTTCGAGTTGTTCAGTTGTTTCGAATTGTCGTGAATGTGATGGCCTAAAAACGCGTCAATTACGAATATTACCTACCCAGCTGTTCCAAACTGTTACTCGACATTCATACTGTGATTGAAATGTTCGTTGAAATGTGCCTTTTTGAATACGGATTGCCAATTATCATGGGACTCAACACATGAAAAGAAGGTACTTAACAAAATTGAGCAAAAAATTGCTGGTAATCGCGTCTAAATACGGACATCTGAAAACGTGGTGCAATTCAATTTTCCTGTTCTTTGTTGACCATTTGCACATGCAGATCTTCCAATTTGGTAGTTCCATAATAACGCCTTATCATTTATCAGTCGGTACTGAATTGTACACCTAGACAATTTTGAAAAATGCCTAGAAGTTCCAATTAAATACAACCTTGCTGATGGGAGAAAAAGCAGATTAGAAAATGAAATAGTTTGATAAGATGCCCTAATTACGATCAATTTATCAACTATAATTGGAACCAATCGTTTTTTCCAGCAAAATCCTTCGAAAATATCAGATTAATTTACAAATGTTATTAGCGTCAATTTACATGATGAGTATATCATTGTGTAATACTAATAATGCCGTTGAGTATCGTAAATAATAGTATTACCGATGCGATAAGCGAGCATGAAATCGCGATTTTTAAATAGAAACTAGACAAAAATTTAAAGAAAAGAAACGGACCCGCTGTCTGTATTGCATCAAGGTTGCCCTCTTTGGGAATTCGATCACTAGACACTGTTAAGCCAATATTGACGATTTTGTGGCACCGTTTCGATGACGAATCAAGAAAGATGGTATCCTCCGATCAAAGGTCGTGTGGGAATTACAGCAAACATTAACGGCGATGAATTGGAATTTAAATAATAACTTGCGATTTCATAACAATGGGCCAAGGTAGTGTGTGCTGCTTAAAGAATTTAAGAAATTGTTAACGCGATAAACCGTTTAGTCCTCCTGCTTTTTTGGGGTGAGATGAGGCTTGGAAAATGTGTTTTAAAGCTTGGCTTCGGAAATTAAAGGTCACATTTTCTATGAATTGTCTGATTATTGGAGACACCGGTAATTAGAAGAGTGAAATACGTCAAAAGAAAACGATGGTCACATGAGATTAAGGGCCGGTGCACACGAGCGTTTTTTAACGGTGCGGTGACGCGACGTCAAAAAACGCGCGTCCCACAAATACATTGGCTGCAATGGAGCAGTTCACACGAACGTCGACGTTTGACGTCGTSACGTGACGTTGACGTTGACGTTGTAAGTCGTTTTTTGACGTCGCGTCACCGCACCGTAAAAAAATTCCGTATTACAGTGAGGTTTTCCTCGTTTAAGAAAAGTCCACCTGCTTTTTAGCTCCAGTCGAGTTGTTTACCCACTAAAAAAATTTCGTCGATGATTTCTGGCGTACTGTGACCATCGTCCAGCTTGAAAAGTACTGAAACAGTTCAGCAGAACCAATCATTACAATTAGTTCGAAGAACCGACCGATAATAGATAACCAAATGGTTTAATTTATTCGCTGTATTTTCCGAAATAACCACCCAGTGACGTCAATAGTTGACGCTAGCAGGAAAAAATGTGTTGTCCGTACATTTTCGTTAATTTTACTCATGGGGAATTTACGAAATAATAATCGGGACGAATTGCTGTACGCCCTCAATTTTCGGAGAAACATGTACATACATCTAGTACTTCCTGCTAAGCCTTCAAGTAATCGAATTTTATTGTTTGACTTGGCCAGCACCGTACAGAAATGTGATTAAAAACTCCAGCTAAAAATGTAAATGTCGGGCGCACAGTAAAAACGTTTCTGAATAAGCAATCGAAAGTTTTTTGACTTAGTTTCAAGGGAAGTCTTCGGAGTCTCGTTGGACTCTGGAAATAGATCAATGTATTGAATTTAAATTAAAGGTCGAGACCCTCACTTGTCTAGGATGGACCGTCGACTTGAATTGAAAATTATTTTACGTTGAATTTCGCGAAACCCTGAACGCAATTCCTACACTTGAACTTTTCCTATTTAGTGTCTCGCTGTGAATCATCCAGTAAAACACCCACAGGCTTTCAAAGGCATGATTCTTTTAGTGCGATGATGTACATATCAAATGAATGGTATGTGGGCGGACAGAAAAAAACTAATTATCATTGCAGGTTTTTTCGTTTATATTTCTTTATAATTAAAACTGAATTGCCCAGATTTCCCTAAGTAACAGAAGACGGAAAGGCCTAATGGGTCGGCAATATTTTTGTCAGCGTTATTGTGGATAACGGTAAACATAACTGTCTATTTGAGGACATTTGTGCTCTGAGTTCTTCTGATCGGTTAAAGTGCAAACATTTGAATTTTGGTATGCTACTCACAATGACAATATACAGGGCGTGTAAAGCACAGGCAGTGAATAATTTGGAAGATGTCGATATATTCAGGTGTATAGTTGAGCAATGGTAATTATTCAGCTTGCAACAATCGTAGTGAATGCAGACTTAATTAATTGAAATGGGCGCTCCCACATCTGAATTCGGCCCGTATTTTTAGATGTTTCGTAAGACAACACCTGGATCTCGTTGAGCCCACTTTAATCATCAGAAAATCTAAAAATGCCCGCCTGTGGCCATTCATTGTTTGCATGGAACATTGCTTACTAACATAAATTATTCAAGCCAATCATCAGTGTCCACACTGTGTCTCTGAACGAAAATATGACCCAAGAGTGATAACTTTGAATGAAAAAATTGAACCACCTCGGTTTAGACGCTCGTTAGGCACATTTGATCAATAACAACAGCGAAGTACTTAGAAGTAGGAGCTATTTTCTCTTTGAAATGTTGCCTAACGTGGACCACTTTCCAGGGAATTTGGGTTAATAGGCTGCATCAGTAATAAATAATTCTATTTATATTTGCAAAATGATCGTTTTTTTGGCTATTTGATATTTAGCCTATTTAAAATTTAAAATCGCGTTAGATCATAGGAATATTTATGCGAAGCAGCCTACATTATTTAACATAGCAGGATGTTGTGTAAAATGCAAATAACATAACTGGTTGACGCAATGAGACAGCACTATTTTACATAAGCAAATGGTGAATTAAAAAAAAAAAACATCAAATTGTCCCATCGGCTTTGCGATAAAAAATTATCGTTGATCAATTACCATATCCACCTTCCATCCGCCTTGAATTGAGGTCTCCTTTAAGGTTGACTTAATAAAGGATTTTGACCCCCTTTCAAATATTAGGCCTATTCTTGAAAAATTCACGTTAGTTTTATGAGTTTTTTTGAACAGACAATTTTTGAATCATCAGTGAAGCACCATTATGTTTTTTCTATACAATAGAGCTGATAACCGTTCCGTATTCCCGTATTCAAGAGGGCAAAAAAAAAAATTTCGAAACTTCCAGAAATTTCATAATCAAGCGAGTTTTTCCTCACTTAAAGCAGCCGATTTTCTTTTTCGATTGATGTTATGGGCCGCATTCAGGAATTTTTGGTTTTTCCTTGGCGAATTTTTGAAAACTTCATGTTTACCAAAGGTCAGTCGACTCGTCTTAGCAACTGAAAAAATGATGGAAACTTCCAGGAATTTTCTATAAAAGTGAGTTAAAAAAAGTCGGCTGGGGTCAGAAAGAGTGACATAACTCGCCGACGAAATAAAAAACTGTTTTGTCTTCAATCGTATCGCGGAAAGGAAACAAACGTGTTCTTAGGCTTTGAAGACCGGTTTGGAAGTCATCCTAAATGAACAGCAATCCAATAAGTTTACACGTGTTTTGGGAAAATTGGCAGCGACGGTACGTTTTGGTTGCTGTGGCTGTATTTTTAGCGAAACTAAATGTTTTTGATGGGCTTGTTAAAACCGCACCTGAAAACGTATCAAACTACCCACAAATTTTTCGAAGTAGCCATTTCAAGTTTCAACGAGTTTAGAACCGATTTTGCCCAGTGATTTGATGACTCGGCAGCATTTAATGCCGCCTTTGACTAAACAAATGTTTTGTTCCATATAAAAACACAGGTAACAAATAACAATAGATCATAGACATTGTGTAACGAAACAATGGCTTGAACCAGGAAATGTTTATACATTTTAGTAAATTATATGCCAAAGGGGCTTTAAAAAATTCATTGTTTTAAGGTTTTACTGAGGGAATAGCAAAATTGCGGTGATTTAAGTCGCTTAGGACCTTAGCAGATCCGACATTCAGAAAATTACGTTTTATACGAGTTAATCTAAAAGTGTCATTTTTCGATCAGAAGCGATGATCACAAGGCACCACTTTTCTTTACTGTTCATTTGTTTTACTTTTACGCACATGTGCGCAAAAGTAAATGTGACAAATTGAACCTGTCACTGTCATAATATTTTTAAAAGTATTTTTATTAAAAAGTAACCGACAGGCTTTTTAATGAATTACGTAGGTTTATAGAGAACTATTGATCAAAATTTAAAGTTTACTTACAATTTGTAAATTATAACTTTGTTACAGGTTCAGTCTCAAAGTCGTTCAAATGATCTATTTTTCTGCGCTCGCCGATGTTGCCACAGCAAACACGATTTTTTTAAATAGCGCAAATTTCATGCAAAATATGTATCTTAGACAAACACGATACCGTGAAAGCAGCACTTGAATTCTCAACACTCATTGTTTTAGTTGTATGTGCTTACAAAAGTACGCTTTTGAAAAATTACAAACGTTAAAATGTGACAGTTTCAAAAATGGCATTGACATAAGGTTTAAAATATGAAGTTGATGACGTTTATTTTTGGCTTTTCTTATTTATTATAACTAGGTAATGATTCGTGTTACGTTTTTCATTCGCATAAAAAATGTTGTTTTTTATTCGATTATACTATTTCATTATATATGTATATACGCATTCAATGTTGAGTGAAAAGTAAAAAGAGATCGTGCGGAAAAATATTGGGAAGACAATTGGAAGAAATGCATAATTAGGATGATGCACTTTTGGCAAGTGAAGCAATAATTCGTATGGTGTTCGACCAGTTTTGCTGGTCATCTTTTTAAAATGGTTTCCATAATTGATCGATTAAAAAATGTGATTAATTCGCAAGTAATTGAAAGTTATTTTTGTGCTAAACGGTTTTCAATGTAGTCCCAACTATTCCAGCGCATGCAAGTGGATGACGGGTACTAAAAGGCAATTATCCCTTTTTGAACGACTGCCCGATAAATCGCTAGAAAAAGCATTCGTGTGTACGAAAAGTAAAGCTAATTATCTTCGTCAAACGAAACAGATGATGAAAAAGAAACGAAATGCGTACGACCTGCCAAGTTTTTTTAAGTGAGCGAAATTCTTAAAATAAACATTGCGGGATTTTTCCTGGGTACCTTGAATCAGCACAATTGCGTTATTTATACACTCTCATTCATCAATGGTCAATGATGGGGGGAAATTGAGGAAATTAGCGTTTTTATGACTTTGCCGGTATAAAACTGCTATAAAACTCGATAAATATTTGGAATATCGCGGGTAAATGTACTAATGAGAAAAATAAAACGAGTTCAGTCATGATTTGCCTTCAGATTGACTGGGTTTCCACCCCACGCATCTATTAAGATTTAATTATTATTTAATTAACCCAAATGTTTGTTTTAGGAAACAAATGGAGTCAGACTACCAATGGCTTGTTGCGATTGGCCTGGTGACATCATCAGTCATTGCAGTGGCAGCAAACGCCTTTTTGCTGTTTGTCTTTTCGAGAAGAAGGAGTCTTCGCACCATTCCCAATAGGTGAGTATTTGGGTGAGCGCGTCAGATTTTTGGTTTTTCTTGTAAATAAATCTTTAAAGATCACTTGAAATTAAGCAGTTCCAGAGAAAAAAATCCTGGATGGTTCATAAATTAAGCCAAAAACCATTACAATCCAGGATTTTTTTTTGCTGAAACTGCTTAATTTAAAGCGTTCTTTAAAGTAAAACACTTATTTGCTCTCTTTGGCTTTACAATATTTACGATGAAACGCCCAAGATGCCATACTGTTAGACTTGAACTTTATGAAAGAATACACCCGATGCAAAATTAAAGGATTTTATATGCGTCTTTCACGTTCGCCATCAAATCAATAATAATCCATCGCCCGTGGCAACGGCACCAGTTGTTTCTCCCACAGAATATCCCCTCCCCAGGGATGTTCTGTGTTGTTGTCGGAAAATAGCGCCGCGCCGTCTCCCGTCCCAGCCATGAAGTAGCCCCGATGTTGCCACTCCCGTCTTGGGTGTGTCCCGCCTACCAGTGTTGCCGCTCTCGCCGTGGTTGCTCCGTTTTCCCAGGTTGCTTACAATACATTCATTTAAGTACTTAAAAAAATGGTGTGACTCGACAGAAGTGATAACTTCATAAATTAATAGAAACCATAAAATATTGAACTTGTTTAACGCATGATGGCAGTAATTATTTTATTTTATCATTTTAATATTCGTGTTGTCTAATAATTTATAAATGGATCAGAAATAGGTAAAATTTTATTTAATTTCCTTTTGAATGTAAAATATCTTTTATTTGCAACATTTAACATTCTTTAACGAGATGTTGTACAAATTGCTCTTCTTGGGTTTGTGTAAACTCTTCTTCTTGAGTTTCTGTATTTTTTAGTCGGAATTTCTTATTTGCTTTGTATAATCTTTGACGTTCAGCACTAGTTCGTGGCTGATGAAAGCTAGTTTAAGTTGATCTATTACTTAATGCTCCTTTTTTAGCACGAAATCGTTTTTGGCGTTTAGCATTACTTAACATTTTTCGCATTGTAGCATGTTTTTGTGACTGCTCTTGTGTATGTTGTTCATGAACGTCTGCTACAACTTGTATCTGAATAGGACTAAAAAATCAATTA